AGGGGAGATCGGACTCACTCACTCCTCAATTCATATTAGGGAAAAACTATCACATCTTCTTTGATGAGAATATGGCATCCCAACCAGATATATTCATCTTCACGGATGGATCTAAGACAATGGAAGGTACAGGCACTGGTATTTACTCCAAAGAACTGAACTTCCATGTCACCCAACCACTAGGTAAACTTCCTACTGTATTCCAGTCAGAGTTGGTAGGATTAACGCTTAGTGCAAGAACAGTTCTTATGCATAACATAAAGAACAAAACTATCAGAATCTCAAGTGACAGCAGGGCTGCCTTGCAGTCACTTGGTCACTGTAAAATTACCTCTAGGATGGTTTCCGAATGTCACCACGTACTAGAGCAAGTAGCAAGCAGCAACACCCTTGAGCTCGTATGGGTCAAAGGGCATGCTGGAACGGAAGGTAATGAGAAAGCCGATAAATTAGCCCGACTGGCCTCAAAACAGGCGTTTTATGGTCCAGAGCCGGCTCTTCCACTTACAGTTAAAACTGTAAACAACCTAATAACTCAAGACACCCAAACCCAGCACAGGGCTAGGTGGAACTTGATGTTAGATTGTCGCCATGCGAGAGAAGCCTTCAGAGGACCATCTCGTAGCTTGGCGCGTTTTTGTACAGGGCTATCAAGGAAGAACCTGAGGTTACTCGTGGGCATACTTTCTGGGCACTGTAAACTAAACAAGCACATGCACTGCATGGGTTTGGTGGAATCACCATCTTGTAGAGGATGTTACACAGACGACGAGACGGCATACCACTTACTCTGTGAATGTCCCGCTCTAGTCCAACTGAGACGATCCATGTTGGGGGAATCCTGGCCGGACATGGCTACGATTAGAGCCGCCTCCCCTTCCAGCGTCCTAAGGTTCATCTCACGTGTGGGATGGCTTGAGTGATGCTGAGGGGTCGGGCGACCCTAGTCAGGGAGGTAGTACAAAGGGCCCGAATTTGAGGCCTAAGTACGCGTGGACACTGTTCACCCTCCTATCGTAATCCAGAATCCAGAAACAAGTTCATAAAATCAAAATACACAAGACATCATAAGTGCAGTGGAAAACATGATAAATCAATTCAGTACAAAAACACATCAAAATACCTGTACGATCAATAGAAATAACACAACTCGTCAAATAAACAAATTGCATGTACATATGAAACATGTAAATGGTGGGGCTCTACTCCATCCTTCAGTTAACATAATTTAATTTAACACGAAAAGTACATGTGAGAATGCCATTGGCCAAATAGCAAGTATTCAGGTGAAAATCGATTATCGCTCAAACAGAACATATTTTAAATAGAGGAAATCTAAATGAGAGGGCCCCCACTCGTATTGCTAAGATGTTAAGAACTACAATCCGCACGAGACGAGTAGGCAACAGATACAGCGAAAGATCTAACTGCATTAGGTACCTACTCCACGGAGACAGAATAACCCACTCGCACACGCAAACATCGAAACATCAAATAAGAGAGCCCCCCTTTCGTATAGCTAACGCACAGAAATGCAGCGCGCCACGAATCAGCAAGTAACAGATACAGCGAACCATCAAACTGTATTAGGTACTTCCCTCACGGAAAAGTTACGGGTCAATCGAACAGAGCAACATCACACCGATAATCAACTCCTCATGAATAACAGAAATAAATTACTTAATTAAACAAAATAATGGCATAATCATATGTACAGTACTACAACCAGGATTCATCTAAAGGTACATGAAACAAATGCATGGAGTACGCCATGATTCAGATATCGTAGTTTATGCAAAATCAGCAAAATGTAAATAATATCAAATTGTGGCAAGAAATTCAATTGTCAATAGCTAGTACAAGAAAGAATAAAATTGTTACTACCTGTAAATACATCTTCAAAACACCACCACCAAAAATAATCAAGAATAATAAAAAAAACCGGGAAAGCGTGTGCCTTCCGTCGACCTCGCCGTCATCTTCTCTCCATTCTCTCCTAGCTTCGTTACCAAAATCCCCTAGTATTCGGCATCTGCGCAAAACGGACGTTGGTTATATACAGAGCATATTATATTTTTGTTTCAGCTGTAAATGTGTTGCCTAACCATCAGGGTGGATTATCACAGGGGGATGACGTGTTATCGGCCCCCCCACCCAAATTCAACTTGTTCTTATCTAATGTTACGCTTAGAACAAAATTTTTTGTTATTGGAACTAAACGGTACAAAACGTGATCAATACTTTAAATTAGTCATAACCATTTTTTCTAATACTGGGGGGGCTGGGAACATGGACCTGAAGGCAAGTTCACTTGCAGCCGCATTTCCCTAGGATTGTGAGCTCCTTTCATATTTACACTTATTTGGTCCAGTTTGGTTCCCAGCCCACTTTGCCTCGTGTCCATCCTCAAGTTGACGGATGTGGAGGGCATTCAGTAGGATAGAAGCAGTGCCCCCACAACACATGACCTGCTTGATTGGGGACAAGAACTGCAGTAATTTATTTTTGGTACAAAATAAATATTTTCCCACATAGTAGTGGATTTCTCCTGTGCTTCGGGGTCATAGAGAACGGTAGTAAATTCTTCCAAATATTAATTGTTTTTTTCTGTTATTCCTCTTTGTGAATTGGAGAGTTCACGTAAAGCTGGTGTCACATCCGGGCGTTTCATCCAAGTCATAAACGCCTTCTTGTTTCCAATAGAATTGAAGCAGGGCGTTGTGGCACAACCTGTGTAACAATGAAAGCCTCGTAGGGCTTGTGAATTTTCTTCTCCAAGTGCTAATACAATCAAATGGGTCGCTATATATCGACGCTTGGCCCCAACACCTGACAGATATCCTTCTTTCAGTCCGAGTTCTTTCAGAAAAAAAACAAAATATATATGACCATCAGAACGTCAGTATCTCAAGACTGGACGAGGATGTTCTGGGCTCCATGCTCCACCATATCTTTCGCATGGAGGATGATTCGCCCGTCCGCCTCTTCTTGCGTAACTTGTATCCCATCAAAAGGGAAAGCGTTCTCAATCGTAGGAAAATGTGGCTGCAAGTCTTGTGAGACCATGAGGTGCTCATGCTTACGAAACAGCCTTCCCTGCACCCTACATGACTATTATAAACATGACTGTCAGCGTTTTATTTTTAATGATTTTAACTACATATTTTTTATAGCTCGACTGCAACAGGAGATCTGAGCGATGATGAGGCATTCCCCTTTGATGACTCATGGCTTTTTACTTGTAAATATGTTTCAATAATCAACAATTTTTAGTTAAAAACAGGATTCAATGAATAAGTTTCAGTTTTGCACTTAGTTAACCTCGATCTCTTTATTCAAAATACATAAAAATTTATAAAAAAGGCCTTTAATGGGTCTTTTTTGGTAATCTTCACCCAAAAGAATCTCAGAAACGCCACCTCAACTACGAAAATCGGTCAAAACCTTTGAATCTTGTCGGACGTTAAAGATATCATACAATTGGCCTATATATGATAAATGAAACATGCTTCCCACACAGAAATTAGCTTTGGATATTATTTTTGTCATATTCACCGTCGGAAACCTCGTAAACGTCACCCCAAACGTATAAATCGCTCTAAAAACATATATTTCCTGAAGTTTTAAAAATTGGCGCCATTTTCAATCCTAAGGGATGGAACTTCCGGCTCTGCGACTCAAATCACTCCAATAGGTCTAGGGAACATGTGTTCCAAGTGGCACAATTTTAATACGAAATGCCGAATAATACCAATATTTATCACGAGCCGCTCCCACTATGATCAAAAAAGATATTTCACCAGATCTTTTTCAATAGTTGTCGCTTCTTAATGTGGTAGGTCATTTGTTGAAGTAGTCCATGGACACCAAATTTATTTGTTTCTGGAAGCTGTCTCTGGGAAGGGGACTGCAATATCTATAGCTATTCTTCCAAATGGACAGCCCGCATTGTATTGTACCATTCCTTCAAATCTCGTTTGCAATTTACCCAGTAGAATCGTTCCCGCATCTTCACCAGCGTTTTCATCACTCCTAGACGTCCTCCCGATATACCATCGTGCATCCGTCGTAGTACTTCAGGTTGTTTCGCTCTCCGGTACCACTAGGTGCACCCTTATTGTCGTGCCAATCACAATTACACAAGGCACGTCTTCAAGGACAGACTTCTCCAGACCAGTTTTTTGTCGTTTGTGAGTTTCAGTGGTAGAGCATTGGGCTACATAGTCGGGAGGTCGGGTGTTCAAACCTGGGCTGAGGTAAGAATTTTTCATCTGTGGCAGAGTGGTAATTTCCTTAGATCAGTTTCGAGCATATTGCCGGCTATAAATAAATAAATAAATAAATAATTTCCATAAACCCGACTCCATTATAGATACTGCCTTCTCGCGTTGTTTAGAATCCAAACTAATTTGCCAGTAACCGCTTTTCATATCTACGGTGGAAAACGATTCAATTATTCCTCGACTAGCCATGTCACTAAAGATTTTCTCACTTGGTCTCGATTAACCCATGGATTTGCTTAATAGTTTGGGCATCTCCGTTGAGTGATAAATAGTATTCACTACCATATTGCTTCGACCTGGTCGACAGTATTGCGAATGACTCGACGTATGACACTTGGGCGGCGTAGGAATAAATTGCAATGTGAACGACACGTTGAAAAAGAATGAAATTGCTAATAAAAACTTACCAATGTGGATGGCCATCCCTTAACACTATTAACAATGATAACACTAAATGCATGTAAAATGAATAATATAAAACTTAATGTCTGTATAAAATGTTTATGGTCATTTCTCCGGTAAAACACACGCACGCGGCACGTTCCGTTCGTCGTCTCTCTATCACCACCCGTACTCTCCTTCCCATACGCGCGCGCGAAAACCGTTTCACTTGAATTTAAGATTTACTTTAACAGACAGTATTATCAATAATTCAATATAATATTTAAAAAAACGTGTTTTAAATTCAATAATATTGCCGCATGTAATGTTTTTTAGGTATCGGGTTCTACACCGCACAAGACTTTGCAAAGAGGGGCGCGAAAGTCATCTTGGCGTGCCGAAACAGGAACAAGGCCGTAGAGGCCAAAGAAAAAATCGTCTTTGCAACCGGTAACGCGAACGTAAACGTCGAGATTGTGGACTTCTCATCTTTTGAGTCCGTACGAACATTTGCGCAAGAAATTCTCGCTAAAGAAGAAAGGCTGGACATCCTCGTTAATAACGCCGGTGCTATTTTCCTTGAAGATAGCACAACCGTCGACGGTCTTAGCACCACGATGCAAGTGAATTATTTCGGCCCCTTTCTACTTACAACTTTGCTTCTGGGTAAGCGCATCGAGGGGCAGTAATGATTGACTGATGTCTGCCAATTTTAGATTTATTAAAAAAATCTGCGCCAAGCCGAGTCGTCAATTTAGCTTCGGTAACTGCCCATTGGGCTAACCTTAATCCCGACGACCTAAATTATTTCTCAACGTCGTTTTTGTCACAAACATTCTACGTGAATTACGGTAATGCCAAGTTGTGTGTAGTTCTCTGGACCAATGAATTGGCAAGGCAGTTGAAGAACTGCGGTGTGACCGCCAACTCCCTTCATCCCGGTATAATCTATACTGATCTTTTAAGGGACACAAATACGTTAGTCAAATGCCTATACCAAATCCTCTCATTCTTAACATTGAAGGTAGGTACCTATACTTTAAACTCTTTGAGATTCGTTTAGATTTACCTATTTGCAGACTGTAGAAGAAGGAGCCCAAACTTCAATATACGTTTCGCTTTCTCGGGAAATAGAGAACGTCTCTGGTGAATACTTCGTTAATTGCGGAATCGGATATATGCCGCGATTGGCTCGCGACGAAAATTTAGCTAAACGGGTTTGGAATTTGAGTGAACAGTTAGTAATGAAGAATTATACGCAAAAGTTTTAACTAAATAAAAAAGGTTCCAATGTAAAATGTAGGTAGTTTATTGTGTTGTGTAAAATACTTGACTTTGAATACAAAATTGGAATATAGTGATTCCCGTGTATTTATTAGCGCCATCTGCAAGTTGCGGCTGGCAATAATAGAAAGTTGACTTCAATTATCTCGTTCCAAATTGACGGGGTCTCCAGTAGATGCTGCGAAGTGGTTTAACACCATTATTTCTTGTAGTTTGTAATCCTTCCAGTGATAAATTGTATATTATTATTATTATTATTATTGAATTTATAACTATCCAATTCAATGTTATTACATATGGACAGCATATAATCACAGTATTTTAATCTGCAATATGACGCAATTATTTATTTTTGCGTACAACTGTTTGATGAAGCATCTCAACAATTTATCATTCTTATCAGTAATACCATTGTTTAAATACTATTTAAACAATGGTAATACCATCGACTAATACCAAAGAGAATATAACGATACTTCTTGCAAATGTGTGCGAATTTAGAGATCCCGAAGTTAGGTTGCACAAATGCACAGGGTTTCGCCACTGCAATTTCATATATCGTTTGCTTATGATTTGATCACCCAGTATTGTGCCCAGTGGCGTAACTACAGGTGTTCCACTTATGCCGCTGAACACGGGTCCGCACCTTATATATGGACCCGCCTTTGCTTGGTCATGCCTCCAAGTGCAAACCGACTACAGGCCCACATAGTCCAGTCAATAGAGAAAAGTTTAGTCAAAAATTTGGTGTCCAAGAGGTTATGACTGATTCTTATGTATTTTTTGGCGTAGATTCCGAATTTTTAATCTCCCACCAACCTTAGGGGGTGGGAACCCCCCCAAAAATGCAAAAAAACCCCAAAATTTCGGCCCAAAATTCAGAATTTTGGAAAAATCTCGCTAAATTTAGATTTTTGGCCCAAAGTACCTTAGTTCAAAATTAAAGTACACAAAATTTGCAGGAAAAGTGATATATACACTTTTGGTCTAGGACCAACGGGGGCGGAGATAAGAGGGGGGTCAAAAAAGGGTACTTTGTTGGAAAACGTGAAAAAAACTGAATTTCTCTGAATAACTCGCTAAATGTTGGTTTTAGAGAAAAAACTCAAAGGACCAAAATGAAAGTAGACGAAAAATTACTTCGGAAAGTGCACGTGTGCGGAGCCGATGAAGGGGGGGAGGAGGGGGAGGGGGCGAGCGCAAAACCTCTCTTCCTGGCGCCGCGCGACGGCACTGGCATAAGGCGCTATACGCGCAGTTTCGGGTATCTCTGGCGGCCTCGGTCCCGGTCATAACGGATGCTTCTTTGTCCTTATTTTAGAAAGGGGCCTCTGGCTTCCCCCTCCCTCTTGTTGGTCGTTTGTATGCTTTTTGTGTCCTCTGGAAACCAGTTCAAGATCCCTCTTCAGTGCGTCTGTGTAGTCGCGTCGTGCGCATCACGCTATATTGCTCCCTGCTTATTTACTATATATATTCAAGGTTTTAGAAATTTTCAGATTACCGAAAGTATGAGAACTTGAAATTTTGGTAAATAGAATTTTTTTAACTAAGTGAATTTGAGATTTTGAAAATATACTTTGGGATTTTGAAATTTTGGGATTTTTAATAGGAATAAAATTTTAGGCCTACTGAAATCTTGAGGTTTTAGAAATTTGCGTTCTTTTTGGTTATCTTTATAGGATGCTTGAAATTTGGGGTGTTTGACTTCTTCGGGAAATTAATTTTTGATATTTATGAACATCTTATACATTTTTGTAATTTTTAAAATTTAAGATTTTATGATTTTAGGGATGTTTTAGATTTTGGGAATTTGAGATTTTAGGATTAAACGCTAAACATCCCAAACTTGCAAATTCTTAAAATGTTATAAATGAAAAGTCTCCAAAATCTTAAACTCTTAGAATTTTAAGAATCCCAACAATGATTTATTTATTTATTGTCCCTTTCTTGTTCTGGGCCCTCAACAGACTTGTGCTTGTGCCCAATTACAGATTAAAATTCCCAAACTTCCCAACTTCAAAAGCCTTAAAAATTATAGTTTCTAGATCAAACATTCCAAAATTTTATGTATCCAACATTTAAGAAATCACAAACATCTCTAATTCTTAAAAACTTAAATTCTTTTTAGAAATTCCAGAGACTTGAAATGTCCAAGTCCCAAATTAGAAAAATTTAAAAGTTAGAAAAATTAGAAAATCCCACATTTCAAAAACCAGAAATCTCAAAGTTTGATGTATCCAACATTTAAAAAATCACACAAACCTCAAATTCTCGAAACTTAAATTCTTTCAATAAATTCTTTTAATAAAAGAACTTTGAAATTTCCAAGAATCAAATTTGTAAAGTTTAAAAATTTGAAAATCGTTGAATGCCTAATATTTCAAAATATTGTACTCTAAAATTCTTGAAAGTACATAATATTATATTCTCAAATTTTCGAAAGTCTCATATGCTCAAAGTCCAAATCCTCAAATTCCCAACATCCTTTTTCTCAAAATTTTAATATTACAAATCATGAAATTCTTAAAATCCCAAAATTTTCTCAGAATCTCAAATTCCTAATATTTTAAAAATCTTAAAACCTCGAGTTTCCAAAATCTCGAAATCCCTAAGTTTCGAAAATTTTAAAAACAAACTATTGTACCGCCAAATTCCCAAAATCTAAAATTATCGAATTCACAAAGACCCCAAAACCTTGTCAAAAATAGCAAAATTTACGTATTCAAAAATCCCAAAACAGATTACCAAAATCAAAAATTCAAAAAATGTCAAATTTCAAAACTCCAAAATTTAGGAATGCTCAATACCTTCAAAAGCTAAACCTTCAAACCCCAAAATCTCAAATTCTCATTATACCAAAAATTCACAACCTGAAATTTTCGAAATCTAAATGTCCCACAATATAAAACATTTCACCCACAAAACTTCAAAAATTGAAAAATCTCAATCCCGACATCTCAAAACTTCAAAAATTCTGTAATTTGCATAATCTCATATCAAATGCTCCAAAATTTAAAACTCCTCTAATCTCGAAAAACTAAAACCTAACTGGATCACGAAAGTACTTTTTGAAAAACAACCTATGGTTCTTCAGGCACCCCTATGTATACGCAATTAAAGATTAAAAACTGTTGTAATGTTGGTTCGTGGGTTTTGTATAATGAGTCGGTGGTAGTTTTTATTATAATATATTTAATTCTTCAAACAAATACAAATAGTTAAATACGACGCTACATGAACTTTTACGAGTGCTACCCTTGACATTTTTCCCTCCTCCTTCCTGGCTTGCGCACAAGCAGGGCCAGTGGCGTAACAAATATAACAAAAACACAATTACCTATTACTTTACTTTTTTAAAAATACAAATTACGATTAAAGGGTGCTCTCCTTTTTCGGTAGTTGCACCAATTCTGCACTTTTCTCCCAAACTTTCCTGTTGACACTGGAGTCTATAGCAGTGCTTGGCATTTCAGAAAGTGCACAGTTATAGAAGTACTTTCCTGTAACATCCTGCACGTCATCAGAGGTCGCAAGATAGATTGAGGTCTGCGCGCCTTCCTCGCTGTTCTAAAATTTTACACGTTTAGTCTACCAACGCCATGCTGTAATGCATCACTCCTTACTTTAAAAAAGGATGCCAAATATTGATAGAGCTTTTGAGTGATGATGTTGAGATCACGAGTAATTTCCGTTTGAACAGCACCTGGATCTAAAGAATTGACGGTAATTCCACTACCTCTTAGACGTTTCGCCAATTCATTAGTAGTAGATAGATTACAAAGTTTCGACTGTCCATAGTTAGAGAACGTAAGTCTTGCGATTCGAGAATTTGAAAAATAATTCAAATTATCAAGATGAATTTGACCGTGACTGACCGATGACGATGAAACGTGCACAATTCTACTGGGCTTGGACTTTTTCAGTAAATCTAAAATAAACGTTAATACAGCAATCGATTTTTTATGGCACAATGTTCAATCTATCATTTCACATTTTATCACAGATTTAAATCTGTGATTTTATGTTGTAATTCCTAGCACAGTGAGATTTAAAGGGACAAGAGCACCGCATATAGATGGCGTAAGTCTTAAGATATCGCTCATAACGATTGGGGATATTATTCCTAGACTAGGGAAATTATCACTAAATCTCTTTCACTGGGATAATAACACCCACCCTAGCGCCCACCCGTGTAGCCACCTATTATGTTCAAAGTCGGTACTATAGATAACTGGATAACTAGAAAAATGCCTACCTATCAGCAATACTGTGAGTAAAAATTGTCCAAAGTGATTTACTTGCATGGATCTACTCAAACCGTCTTCGGTAATATCATCTTCAAAAATAATTGCTCCAGCATTATTTACCAAAATGTCTAATCTCTCCTCCGAACTATTTATTTCCTTAGCAAATTCTCTAACGGATTTTAGTGAAGCAAAATCAACTATTCTCACATGGACGTTTTGGTTGTGAGTCGCCTGTATAATTTGTCGTCGCGCCTCCTCCGCTCTCGCCTTACTTCTGCACGCTAGTATGACCCTTGCACCTCTTGTTGCTAAATCCTGAGCGGTGTAAAATCCAATTCCTACCCAAGTGAGTGTTGTTAAAAGCTGAATTGGAAACGATTGTACACTCACCGCAGTTGGCGCCGGTTACAATTGCAGTTTTTCCAACTAAACAAACTGGACTTCGATTCCATTTCGTGCTCACTTTTATAAATCTTAGTAGAATGAGGAATGCTGCAATCAATATTAAGCAAGCGAATAAAACCCACACCCACATTAGAGCTACGCAACACTATCTACTTTAATCGAGGAAAGGTGCCTTCTGTAAACACTTTAACGTGTTATTAGGTAAAGTTTTTTGGTTTTTGTAGGTATCAGTTCGATAATACTTGATAAAACTTCCAATTGGACTGTACCCGCACAGGTACTTACATAACTTTGCTCTATAGGTACCTACATTTGGTCTCACGGTAAACGATTATATTTCGAAACATTAACAATTAAGAGAAACTGAATAGATTAACTTTGAAAAACCGAATTTTACCATTCCCACATTTTCCCAAGTATAGTTGTAGCTTTGAATATAAAATAGTCTATAAGGTTGTATACTGGACACTGGTGGTCTAACGGTCCTTACTTTAATGCTTCGTTTCCGTTTCCCATTATTATCAGCGACGCATCTCCAACTACAAGTGCGTCGACGAATATCACTGGCGCATTACCTATTACCACCACAAGTGGCTCACCTACCACCGTCGCCAGTGCATTTCTCGCTGCCACAACGAGCGTCGCTACCACCAGCGCATCCTGAGAACCAATAACGGTACCGGCTACGGTGGCCCAAACCACCGCTCATCTGGCCGCCGCTCTCCAAGCGCTGAAGGGCGCCACCGCCGACCTTCTCGTCCTCCCCGGGGACCCACTTGAAGACTCCGCTACATTGTAAAAAAATGCCGTTCCCAACCAAGCCTAACGAAGCTCTGGCTTGGCAGCAGTAGCAACAAGTACAGAAACCTCTCACAACTTCATCGACCGTCGGCTGGCCAACCACACCAACAGAAGTACCAAACCCACGATCTGGATCAGGACTGGCTGCATAGCAGCAGTCGCCGATGTGTCCACTGGGTAAAAGAACGCCGTCACACCACCCACTGGGCCCGTTTTGCTAAGACAGCCGAGAATGTCACGCCGAAGATCGAAAAAATCCACCTTGGTTTTCCCACATTACTGATATCTAGGTTACGGGAATTCCTCCAAACGTTTCGTATCGTATTGTCCAAAAGAAACATGCCGGGATTTTGGACTATAGCACGTTGAATAGCTGACGAAAGCTCCACGAGACACTTAGAGAACTGGGGACAGCGAAGCTGTTCTCTGCTACACTTCAAATGTGCATACTGGCAGGTTCCTTTCGCAACTGAGTCCCGCCGCCTGTTTGACTCTCGACGGCGCCTGCTACCAGTTTCGAGTTCGGACTAAGGAACGCTCCGTTCACCTTTCAGAAGCTAATGAAGCAGAAGGTACTCCCGGGGATCCTGAGGAAATTCGCCATGGTTTACCTGGACGACATCGTGGTGTATTCGAACTGACCTCGACCACCCGCGGATAGTGAGGGAGCAGCTCCAGAAACACCACCTGCGCCTCGCACAAGACAATTGTCGTTTTGTATTCTTTCCTTGTCTAAGTTTTTAGGTGACGTATCTGGGCCACCCTATCACGGCAGACTCCAACCGGCCACTCCCAGAATACGTGGCAGGCCTTCGCTTCGCGTCCAGTTTCACAACACGCCGGCAGCTCCGCCGCGTCTTGTCGAAATTCAAGCTCCACTCAACGACATGCTAAAGAAGGGGGCCCGATTCACGTAGAAGGTCGCCGCGAACAAGGCGTTCGAGAGTCTGCCGGACGCTCTCGGCCAGCAACTGCAACTCCATCGTCCCTACGCCTGGTTACCGTTCGTGCTCCAAACCGATCTCAGAAGATGTGGTATACTGCAGCGGTCCGGTATCACTAAGACGAGGGCCAGATACGGCGCATAGTCAGCTATGCCAGTTCGAAACCTCCTCTGGGTCCCCTTCTCCAGGAGTTTAGTTAAAACAGCCAACATTAACCCGGCAAGCACAACCAATTGGCGGATCACTTTTCCCGAAATCCCAACAAAACTACAATCTCCCAAACTTATAACTTCTCCAAGTTGGAAGCCAGGGCTCACAAGTACATTCGCAGCTCCTGGATGTGCACCGCCGCCGTAAAGAGGGGCCCAGTTGACGACGCCTCCCTCCGACTCAGGGAACCCACGCTCCCTTGGGAATCTGTGTTGGTAGACCTAATCAGACCGTACAGCACCACGACCACCGGGTGCGACCAGATCTTGGTCATAACCTTTGGCCAGATAGTCTTAGCACAGATCTGTGGTCTTAGTAATAAAAGATGTTTTAGTTTATTAACCCGTTAGAATTAAAGTTTAACCCCCTTATGGATTTTAACAAACAAACAAAAATCCTCTTCTAAAAATTTCAAAATTTCAATACCGATATCCAAAAATCTGTAATTTGCATAATGTCAAATGCTCAAGATCTAAAACTCCTATAATTTCTTATAAGCTCGGAAACCCCTTCCCTTAATGTAAATCAGTAAGCGCTGCAGTAAAAGTTTCGCATCTACTCCAAAGAGGCGCAAATTCATTGAGAGGTAATTAATACACTCGCTAATGTTGTAAATCATAGAGGCTACTTGCAACTGATTTAACTTAATCAATCAACGCTGAATGAAAAGAAGTTATCTTGAAGTACCTACTGACCGCGGTGAAGTTTTAAGATTTATTGATCAATGGTCAACGCTGGTACCTCTATGAACAATATTGCACATTTATACCGGGAAACATTGCCTTCTGTATTCGACTATACAACTAACTTAATTGCACCATTGTAATTCGTTCGCTTTCAAATGTTTAATTTCTAAGAAACTTCGTTCTCGTGTTTTTTTTTAATGTAACAAGCCGTATTACTAAATATTGTGCATTTGGAAATAAGAAGTGATAATCGGTTTTCATGCCGACCTTACTAAAGTTACCGAAAACACACATCCTTTAGTTACCTAATTGGATTGTGACAGAGTACTTTTTGAAAAACAATTTATGGTTATGCACCGGAAACGATCACTATTTTAAATAATACGCAATTTAACATTAAAAACATCAATATTATATATTTTACACTTCATAATATACAAATAACGATTAAAGAGTGCTCTCCGTATGGGTTAAATGAACCAATTCTGCACTTTTCTCCCATACTTTCCTGTTGAGAGTAGAGTCTATAGCAGTACTTGGCATTTCAGAAAGTGCACAGTTATAGAAGTACTTTCCTGTAACATCCTGGACGTCATCAGAGACAGCAAGATAGATTGAGGTCTGTGCCCCTTCCTCGCTGATCTAGAATTTTACACATTTAGTTTACCAATGCCTTGCTGTGATATGTCACTATTCACTTTAAAAAAGGATGCCAAAATTCGAAACAGCCCTTGAGTCATTATGTTGAGATTACGAGTAACTTCCGTTCGGACAGTACCTGGATCCAAAGAATTGACGGTAATTCCACTACCTCGTAGACGTTTTGCCAATTCATTAGTAGTAGCTAGATGGCAAAGTTTGGAGTTCGCATAGTTAGAGAACGTAAGTCTTGCGATTCGAGAATTTGCAGAATAATTCAAATTGTCAAGATGAATTTGACCGTGAGTGACAGATGACGATGATACGTACACAATTCTGCTGGGCTTGGATTTCTTCAGTAAATCTAAAAGAAATGTTAGCATTTTAAAAGTGCAGAGGCATTTTTATTTGTAGGCCGGTGTCTGACAAAATCGTGTAATATAGCGGCGATATAAGTGTATATGTATATACAGCGTGTTACATCACAGTATGTAAAAAAAATTGAGAGGGGATCAAGACAAGCACTTTTTCCAAATAAACCGAGGGTTCGTTTCGTTTGGGGGCCAACCCCAAAGAACTGGTGAAATTTTGATTTCTTTTTTAATTTTTTTCTCAGCAACCATGAGTTACAAAGATGGGTGGCAGGTCTTTGAATAGGTTTTCGGGTATGCCCTATATAAAGTTACACTAAAATTGATCAAAGAATCGAAATATGCAAGGGGTTCTATTTAAAAAAATGTTACTTTGATATAAATCACCCTGTATACCTAACAATTTCGTTGACAATATTGTTAGGTTGTAGCCTTAAGAGTCTTTCAACATGCCCCGACAATATAAATATATGCGTTAATAAACCCACAATCTTCCAACCACACACGAATGGCCCAGAGATCTCACGCGCAAACTGTTTGAAATAAGCCATAACGCTTTCATTTGAAACTATTTCGCATATTTTGAGGTTAAAAAAATTGTTTTTTGATACATGGTTTCTGAGTACGACCGCCATGTTGAATTTTTTAAATAGCAACATAGGTCATGTGATACATCATTAAAAAGCCTATTTTTCTCTATTTCTTATTACCTTAATCATGAATGGTGTTAAATTAAAAAATAATAGCGAAGAAACTCTGTCAAATGGTCCATACTTGACATAGGATAACTAAGGTTAACTAAAGATTTATTTCTATAAGTTATAAGGAAACAAACCATAAGTAAAGTGCAATACATTAGCTATCTAAGCGTATGGCATGGTTTTTCTAATTTTTCTTCATTATTTTAAGTAGTAAACAAGAGAAAAAATATGCCGTATCACGTGACCTATATTGCTATATAAAAAATTCAAGATGGCGGTTGCACTTCAAACCATGTGTCAAAGAATAGGTACCTCAAAATAACTTTAATAATGTACGTTAATAAACCCCCAGAGATCCGTCCACACACTATTGGGCCACCCTGTATATACCTATGAACGGAAAATAAAGCGACAAACGAATGTAAGTTCACTTTACAAGCAGTAGTCACAACACAGATTGTTACAAGTAAAGTGGTAGGTACGTACGCCTATAGCCACATATTGTGTTCAAAGTCGGTACTATTACTAACATTATTAAGGATCCTCAGATCCTTTATAGTATTGTATTGTCGTCCGTCCGTCCGTCCCTCCCTCCGTCCGTGTGCGCTCTAACTCTTTTTAAAAGTGACCGATTGTGTTGATTGTGTACGGGTACTTTGGACATTAGGGACGGACGCTATTAATTTTCAGGAATCTGGTTCAACAGGAACAAAAGTTATAGGGCTTCGAGTGAATCGGGAACAGGAAAAACTGCGGGCTCAATATAATAGAAATCAACATATTTCATTCCCTAGGTCATGTAACGAGTTTGGACTTTCGCTAGATTATTCCCTTGACTCTTAGATGTGTAATAATTCAATATAACTCGTCTCTGTGGTATAGGTCAAAAGTTTTAGAGCAAAATGTACCCAAA